TTTTTTTTTTTTTTTTTTTTTGCATATGCTTCAGAAAGTACATAGTATTATAGTGGTACATGAATATACATCTACAAATACACATAAATAGGGGTACATGCTCAAAATTTTTTTTTACTTAGAATGTGTGTGTCATCAAGAAAGTTTGGAGACCACTGATTTACAGTAATAAAACTATTAAGATATAGGAAATTAATTTACCCACCAAGAATTATACTAGTTATCGTCCTAATTATGGGCTGTAAAAATACTGAATTTTAAAATAAATTTTAACAACCTATCCTTTTTCACGAATCCATCTTTTTCCTCAAGTAAAGATAAATGCTACAAAATTACTTACTTTGTAGTCTTGTGACTGAGATGGAAGCCCCTTCGCAAGAGCAGGAGGCTTTGCTGCAGCTGTAGGAGTCTGACTCAAGTTCAAGGCCATTATTTCTGCCAGTGATTTTAATGGTTCTTCTTCCTCATCACTGTCTAGGTTGTAACCTAAACTTTCTTCATCGCTATCAAAATCACCCCTTAATTTTCTTTTCAGTGCATTGCTACCTGCATTGGAGTTTCCTGAACTCTCTTTATCAGAAGGGGCTTTATCTGAAGGTGCAGTTGGGCCTGGGTTACATGGCACAACTTCCAGGGAAGACTTGGTAGGGGTGCCATATTTTGCACACAAAGATCCCTCGGAAATTTTCCCTGAAGACACACTAGAATCAGTCTTGTTAGTCTTTGCTTTGTGTTCTTTGTGCTTGGAGGATACTGCAGAATAGCCAGGACATTCTTTAAATGAGGAACGCTCTTTATCTTTCTTAGGAACTGGAAGAGAGCAATTTTTAGCATTTAATGGTACCTGAGAGGAACCAGCACTTGAAACATGGGAAAGTAAAGGTAGAGGTTTTGTCTCTTTCAATGTCTCAGAGCTAGCAGTTTTATTTTTCTGAAGGGTGCCAGCTTTTTTACTTGTAGATTTTTCCTGAGGTAAAGATAGATGGGGTTTTTGTATCTTAGTCTCTTTGGTACTTGCCACTCGGATTTGGTCACTATTCCTGGAAGAATGGTGGCCAGAATTTGAAGGTGCCAAGCCTGTAGAGGAGCAATCAATTTCATCACTTGTTTCCTTGCATATATCCTCTAAACGCAGTACATCGCCAGGCGTCTTCAGCGCGATATGTCTTATGAATTTTTCTTTCTGATGTGATCCATCAGGACGCTTCTCAAGGAAAGGCTCTTTTGCTTTTGGTATCAGAGATTCTCTTGTACTTTTCAGATCTGAGTCCACAGAGTTCCTTTTTCTTTTGTCAGGGAATTTATTCTGCTTAGAGCCTGGTAAAATTTAATTTTTGTCAGATTAGTGAAAAAGTACACCGTCTTATCTGAGGAAAGGTTATTCACCTACTGTCTAGAACACCCTGACAAAACAATCAAATTCTGAAAGTTTTAGATTGAAATTATTCATGACATACAGACTGGATAAAGAGAATACTGTCATTTATCTCCCAAATTATAAATGATGGTGGCCAGAAATTTAAAGCTAATGATAAATGCTCATTTTCCATTCTAAATCTATTAAAAGTATACTTCCTTAATAGAGTTAAAAGTATTACTCCCTAAAACACAACCAAGCAGGTATTTGTACCAGTGAAACAATTCCAAAGGTACTTCTTCTCAAAATAAAATTAAGCTCAGGACTACGTGGTCCCAGAAATTTTAACACTTTCACATCTAAAATTATGTACCTTCAAACACATATAGGATACGTAGATGAAGGTAAATTTTAATTTCTCATTAAAAGTAAATGTACCCATTATGTAATTATCATTCATCTTTTCCCACTCATGTATTTCCATTGTCTTCAGCTATGCTGTGGGCTGTGTGCCCCCAAAATGGTATGCTCAAATTCTGACCCCTATACCACAGAATATAACCTTAATTGGGAATAGTATCTTTACAGGCATGACTGAATTAAACTGAGGTTTTGGTTTGTCCCAATGCAAAATGACTGCTGTCCTTAAACACAGAAATCTGGAAACAGACAGACATACAGGGGGAGATAACAGTGAAGACACCCAAGGAAAAAATTCCATGTGACTGAAATGATATGACTTCTAGTAAAGGAATTCCAAGCATTTCAGGCCAACATCAGAAACTGGGAACAGTTAAAGGATTTTTCCTGGAGTTGTCACAGGCAGCACCGCCCTCTGGCCACTCTGACTTTGGACTTCTAGCTTCCAGAACTGTGAGGCAGTGATTTCTGTTGCAGTGCTGGAATTTTGTTGCAGTAGCCCTAGAATCTAATGTTGGGGCAGACCCTGGCCCTTTATAGAGGGTGAAAAGTGTAGGCCCTGGCGACTATGAGCAGCAACAAGCAATCAGTTTTCAAGTGGCTTTGTAGTTTGAAGCCGACAGTATGTGGTTCTGACACCTGCCCGTGTAGGCAGCACTGTCCCCTGCTAGCGCAGATTGCCATGCCTACCCAAACTCCACTATTAGCTCACAAGACCAAACCCCTAGCAACAAGCCCAATATCCAGTCAATCAAGAGTTGACCCTTGGCGGGTGGAGACAGGACCACCGCCCCAGATTTGGTGGTGTCTCAGCTCTGAGCACCTCCAATGTTCCCAAGTGGCTTTGTGTTGCTTCCTGAAATATCTACAATAAAATCACTTTCCCTTTACACTAGTCTTCTCTGACTCCTCTTCCTACATTGTAGAGACAAGACCCCAGACCCATGAGACATAAGACTAAGAGAAGCTGCTTTTATTAGTAACTATATTCAGATATTCAACAAGCAACTATATTTAACCAGTTTTTAAAAATTCATATTGTGCTTAAAAGTATATTTCATTGATTATTTATTCATTAAAAATTCACTAGACCTATGGGTATAGCTTAGTGGTACTCAGGGGCAAAGCACTTGCCTGGAATGTGTGAGGACACTGGTTCCACCCCCAGGACTGAGGAAAAACAGTAACAAAGCTATAATACGACCCCCCCAAAACATTATATAGTTACTAAAAGTAAAAATTATCTTATAGATGTCCTTGGAATATTATAAAAACAGGCACATTTATATCTTATACACTAGGAAAAACTGTTTTGGATCATGATGAACAGTTTCAAACTCATAAGAATCTTCAACATAACAAGATCTCAATCCCAAGAATTTAACATTACGAGTTGTTGATGTAGCCAAAGAGTTAGAAGCACAACACTGAATATCAATATGAGAAACACACTGTAAGAAACTCTTGAAAGCAAAAAAATAGTCAAGACAAACCACACCTCATGCATACTAAATGCAGGGACTATTCTTTATTCTCTTAACAAACTTAATCTTAAACAATTCATGTCTAGAAAAGAAGTTCATATTCTTAAAAAGTTTATTTTAAAAAGCAGTTCCATTAAGATGCAAATCTATTTAGATATTTATAAATTTAATTTTGATTCTACCTGAAGTAGGTTGCCATGAATCAGAAGAGGATCTCTTTCTTGAGAGATGTCCATTTTCCTGTTAGGAAAGAAAAAAATTAAGAATTTCAAGCTGTAAAGATGTGAACTTTTCTTCGTTAATATTTAAACAAATCTCTACACTGAATAAAAAAAATCACCTGTTAAGAGATAAAGTCTAAATTCTAAAATATCTGACAATCTGTCTGGATTCAATCTCCAGTTCTGCAAATAAAATAAAAGTCATGGACTGGGGGTGTAGTTCGGTAGCATAGTACTTACCTAGTATGCACAAGGCCCTGCATTCAATCCCTAACAACGCGCGTGCGCGCACACACACACACACACACACACACACACAGACATCTGTACCATTAAAAAGTATCAAATCAGCTTTTATAATGCTAATTTAGGGACTTACATTAGTAACTAAAAGATGATATAACTTGAACTCTTCAGTGCCTGTGTAAGAGCTGATGCATCACCAAGCACTGCAATCTTATAAAAATGGACCAAATATTACTAACTTGTATTTATTTACTTATTTCTGGTACTAGGTATTGAACTTGGGAACTTGCACTTGCAAGGCGGCATGGTGCCACTGAGCTAAATCCCCAGCTCTACTAACTTCTATTTATCATTAGCAAATCTCACTAGTAAAGGCATCAAATTTTTTATAAGCCTCAGGAACTACATCTTCCAAAAATATACAATGCTGTAATTTACCCACTCCTAGAATGTCATAATTTGGCTTATTTTGGTCAATCTAGTTTTAAAATTTCAGAGCACTTTCTTGACATCTGACCTTCCATTGTTTGCTCTGACTTTCCAGAGTAGAGGGACAACTTTTACCTTAAGTCCAGTCTGTTTAAAAAAAAAACCTGGAGTGGTTAAAATGTTTATGGACAGACTCTTCAGACCTATAATCAATTATTTAAGCTCTCTATATAATCTAATCTAAGCAAGGGATTCTCAAACTTTCACGTAAATGTAGCAGACTGTTGGGCTCTACCTCCACTAGCTCTGATTCTGTGCATCTGGGGTGGGATTTGAGACTGCAATTCTGACAAGCCCCTATGCCAAAATATTTCCGGGGCTGGGGGTTTAGGGCAGTGGTTCTGGCGCCTGCCTCACAAGCACAAGGGTCCGAGTTCAATCCCCAGTACCAAAAAAAAAAAAAAAAAACCTTTTTCAATTTTCCGTTTCTCAAATATCTCCCTTCAGTAGATCCTAACCTAAAAATGACTATACTTACCTAAAGGGACAAACGTTTACTTTCTTGATTAAACAAGAGCTTTATCCTGGTCTGAAAAAATTAGGAGCAAAAACCACTACTTCGCTGAATTCAATGAAGGGAGGAAGAAATCTAAAGAGCCCATGTTCAACTTGTAAATTTTCTTAAATATATCAATGTGATGTAACAGTTGTCATACATTAATTATTCTAAATGATACAGTAGAGGTAAGGCTAATTTAGTAATTATTGCACGTACCAAGTTTGAAAGATTACTTTTTCCAGGTATATCATTCTGTTTACTATGTTCCTGCCTTGGTTTACATTTTCTTCTTGGACTGGTGGATTTTGAAGAAAGATTACTTGCTTCTGAGAAGGAATTTTCTGAGTTGATTTTCTGCTTCATCTGCTCCTTTCTCAACTTCTTTAATTCTCGCTCTTTGCAATATGAAGCTAGTGACCTCTGGAAACTAGTAGTTCCCAGTGGGCTTTCTCCTGGGTGGTGCCTGGATACACTGCTTCTGCTACTAAGACTTGCAGAGCTGCCCTTGAAGATGTCAGCTTCTCTCACCATGGTTGGCTTTCTGGAGTTTGCATTAGTCTTTCCTCTATCTCTATCATTTTTCTCCCTGCTATTTTCATGAACAAACAGTGACTTCTTTCTCTCTGGAGACCGATGTTTTTTCTTCAGTGTCTTCATCTCTTTAGACAAATAACATGAATGAGAAACACTGAAATTCGTTCCTTTGGAAAAATATTCAGAGACCAATGACATATAAGGCTGATGGGACTTGTGTACACCACGATCTTTATGGTGCTCTTTAACATGTTTCATCAAAGATTCTATAATAGGGCTTTTTCCTGATGGCATTCTTTTGGGTTTAGATTTTTTTGGTGAGGATAGTTTCCTTTGAAACTGCTCGTTCCCTGTGATGGACAATCTACTTCCTCCATATTTGATGTTTGATTTTTGTGGAGAATCCAACATATGTCTCTCTAAATAGCCAATTGAAACATACAAATTACAAGTTATTAAAGTATCAAACTGATGCTTTATGCTAATATTGATCTGCATTATTAAAATACAAACTGTATTAAAGCAATCACAAATTTTCAAAGCAAATTACACGGGTAATGACACACATACTCTGTTAAGAGAAATTAAGGCATAGCTTATTAAGTCTTACATAAAGCTCCCTTTTGCTATAGCACATAGCATCCCTGTAACTCTTAAGTCACTGTATGAGAAAATCAAAACACTAAGCATTATGTGCCAGGCTTAGACAGGAAGACTACCATGAGCCTAAGGATACCCTGGACTTCACAGTGAGCTCAGGGTGAGTCTAAGCTACATAACAAGATTTTGCCTCAAGAAAAGGGCCAAGGTTTAGCTTAGTGGTGCCGCCGCCTGCCTTGCAAGTGCAAGGACCCAAGTTTGATCCCCATTACCAAAAAAAAGAGAAAAAACGAAACAAAAAAGCTGCATTATAAACATTATGGACTGGAATATTTACACTATGCATTATAAACATTATGGACTGGAATATTTTAATTGTAAGAACATGGAACAGCAAAAAGACGGTGTAGAACTCTTTTATTAAAAAAACTGCATCTCCATTAAAACCCTGCACTGTGCTTAATCAATAAAAGTTTAAAAGATGAATCCATCTCCCTTCTCACCTCCAAAACAGCCCACAAAAAAATGTATTAATATTTGCATACCTTGTTTTGAAGCTGGTTTGAAGAAATCTATAATTGACTGCTTCCTGAAAATAAAAGCATAACTAATATGGGATCACATAAGCAAATAATAAAATCTCAATAATTCAGACTAAATGGAGAATATCAGATTTATAAAATACAGGCTGGAACTCATCTGGCTTAACTAAGTTCCAATAATGGCAATGACTTTGCTATGCTATAAAAATTGAAAATGATTCATCACTTTCTGTAATTTATAAAAATGCGAGTGAAATTTATATAATTTATATATGGTGAGATTGGTGTGTAGATTCAGGGAATTGGTGGAGAGTGCTATTTAATACCGACACACAGCTACATGGTAGAACGAAGGACCTCAAAGAGATAGGCGCTAATTTAATTTGTTGAGATCTCCAGTGATTGGTATAAAATGGAGATTGTAAAAAATGGAGTAAAGCCTGAGCAGACACTGATAACAACAGCATAGCAGATGGTAGAATGGCAATGAGTGATCTGGCTGATCTTGGGAGGCAGGTGAAGAAGAATGTGCTAGGCAAAGAGTACTACCCTCCATACATTAAGGTAAGATGTTGATCTGAGTAACACCAAAAACTGACCTAAGTCTTCACAACTAGTGTCTCAATTTTAATTTTTCATTTTTGGTTTTGTTTGTGACAGGGTCTTGTGAAGATCAAGTTGGCCTTGAACTCACTATGTAGCCCAGACTGGCTTTGAGCTTATAGCAATCCTCCTGCCTCAGCCTCCCAAAGAACCACCATGCTCACCTTAAAATTTTGTTAAGAATCCGTAAGACATTCACAAAAATAACACACTGCCTAGGAGAACCATAAGACAGAGATGTGGAAGGAAGTTAATAAATTTAAAGCTAATTGCTTATTAAGGATTTTAGTTCCCTCAAGTGGGCACAAAATGAAATAGGATCGCATTACCAGAATTTGTATTCTCATATTTTTCATGTATTCAGCTGTCAGCCACAGAGAAGGATGTCATATGGAGAAGAAAAAATTAATTTTCTGGCAAATTTTGTGAAAATGTATTATTTTCCTGAAAGAGAAACTTGTGGTTTCTCCAAACATTTATCCATGTTGAGGCTGAAGTACTGAGTGAAAACCTTAACAGCCCAAATCCAAGATCAAGGCCTTTCTACATCACGTACACTTCAGTCACATTAGAAGAGCAGTGCACAGGTTTACTGACAGCCCATCATGTTTGTTTGAGATGTTGGTAGATAATCTAAGTGATAATGAGATGAATATGAATGACAGCTTATGGTAAAATATATAATTTGTTTACAAAAAAATAAATTGCATTAGGGAAATTAACTATACCAGAGTCAAGGAAGAAATACTGATGGGTCTGCCTGAGGCCCTGTTACTAGCGAAGGAGATGCAACTAGTTCAAAGCAAGATTATAGTTAAGCATGTCTTTATCTTGATTACTGAATGTAACACTCTTCTCTGAAGTATTAGCTCTCAGGCTCTTCATTTAATATTTCAGAAAGAGAAAAATAGCTTTGGGTAAATACACAAGAGACCTGTAAAAATAACCACAGGTGTAATTTTCAAGTGTTATTTGCTCCCTAAATTCACATGCACAGATATGTCTATTACTTACTTATAAATGGTTACTAATACCAATCATACAGCTTTATAAACCCCTATCTAAAACTTTTGGGGGCCAAACTGTGTTAGAATTAATTTACTGGATTTTAAAAAGAGGACAATTTAAATGTTATGTAAAGCCTCCAGTGGAGCCTGATGCCACATGTAATCAAACCCATCATTATTTCTCCAGCAAAACCTATGAATGTTCACACTTAATGGAATAAAAATTGTGAACAGCTGACATCAGTTCTGGTCAATTTGACTGCCAAGTAAAATGTGGTGCTAAACTTACCGAAGTAAGTTCGGCTTTTGTAACTTTCTGACTTTCAAGATTAAGATAAGGGATTGTGGACTTGCACCACGGTGTTAGAACATACATTTAACAAAAAGCTTCTGCTACAAGCTTTTGAACTTAAAAGTAAAAAAGACAGTACCAAGTTCATAGAGAATGTAAACATGTTTTATTGTCAGAGGATGTCATTTGATAAAATTTCCCATCTTTACATAGCTCCCACAAGATCTATACAAAAAACTGGTCTCTTGGAGAGGTATAAAGTTACTGAAAGAGAAAACAATCACATTTCAAATCTGTATGTTCTTTTAAGTGATGAATTATCGTGTACACTGGACTATAAATACGTACAGTTTTCCTCATCACTTCTTACATAATTCTCAATACTAACCCACCAGGATCAGACCTGCAAACTGCACAAAATGACCTAAACATGCGTCAACAGTTAGGGCCCCGGGTCCAGCTTTCCCGGACTGGAATCTGGGCCGGCCCGGGGCGGACCCTTGCTACCGCTCGACCAGATCGCGGGACCGGAGGCCGCGCTCCCGGCAGCCCCC